AAGGACGCTACGACCGGAGTGGATAGGCGCTTACGTTCCGCTATTGATCTGGCTTGTGGTGAGCCTAACTTCCACATTTACTGTCTTGATTTGGCATACAAAGGTATTCAGAGGTGAGTCGAGCCGATTGCGGCCTCTGTACTGCAATGTCAGGCACAGGGTCTTTGACGCCCCGCTTGTGGATTGCATTCTGTCAGCATTGGATCATTTGGCTAGAACCCTGCAAGGGCTGGGTCTCTCTGGAAGATTGATACTCGGTGGGCTGATCTTTCTCACTACCTTCCGTGAGTCGGACGCGCTTCGAAAGCATCTCAGCGCAAAGGCTCATTTGTCCTTGTCGAAAAATCGCCAAACACAGCGCCTCTACCGCTGTATTCGACTTTGATTGTCATCAGCGGCTTCTCGTTTGGTCTCGTTCAAGGATTCGTCATCTCGTACATCGCTGCGTTGGCAGGAGCTATCACTGTGTTCTTGCTATCGCGCACCTTCTTGAAGACTTGGATGGTGGGGCTCCTCAACAAGAGTGGTGGGCTTCGAAAAGTTAGTCAAGGTCTTCTTCGCATCGGCTGCGCTCCACCGATTCTCACACTTCTTGCCTTGTACAGGTTGTGCGAGCCATAGAGAAGCAACCAAAGCTGCTTTTCCTCGTCAGACTGGCGCCTTATCCGTACAATTTGATGGTGAGCAGCTCGACCCAGACCAAGATGCTCGACTGTCTGCCTGACCCTATCGCTATTCCTCAGAATACGCTTCTCGCATCCTCTCCGACCTTGACGCTCAAGACTTACACGCTTTGCACGGCTGTGGCGCTGCCCAAGCTGCTAGTCCATACTGGTCTGGGCACAACCATCAAGAACTTCGCCGCGTACAATGGCGCAGGAACGGCAGCCCCCGTCAATGCAACGGCTATCGCTGTCAATGGCACTAGCGCGATAGGCGCCGCTGCCAATGTCACCTTGATGACCAACACGACGGCGCCTGCAAACACGGGAGCCAGTCATACCGCGGAGACAATCAAGCATGTTGCCGGCTTCGTTGGGGTTGGATTGTGCATTGGAATCTTCTTCTACCTATTCAGCGTCGCTTCTGCCGCCGTAGACGAGCTGGACGACGAGACGGAGGGCGCGCAGCTTCGTGCTGCAGGCGAATACGATGCCCTGGCTATGGAAGATGAGGACGATGTGGACTATACGGACGAGGAAGACAACACGGAGCCGAAGCGGAGCGCAGATGACGCTGATGTGGACGAGCAGCCTCTCGATGCGGTTGCCGTTGCGGTGGATAACCATCTGCCCATGTCGGAACTGCACGAATCAAGTGCGTCGTCGCCATGGCTGCAAAGACCCTCGACTCAGCTACCTCCCCGCCAACTCAATGCTCAACGAGCAGAAGGCGCGGGTCATCTGGCAAGCAACAGCAGCGCTTCCACGCTCATTTCCGACCTGGAAGCCAGTAGCGATGGGCAGAGCAGCGATGCGCGAATTTCGTCATCATCGCAGCCTCATCACAAGCTAGTGTACGCCTCCTTTGACGAGCAGCCTGTCAGCCAGATCAGTCTGGCAGAGAGCATTGGCGCGTTCGAAGATCATGCCGACGCAGCCTATCTACACAGTCAGCAGAGGCACAACGAGCCGATAGTCCACGTCGTGCGCGATCATATGGGATATCAAAATCCCAGTGCACACTATCGATGATAA